GTGCGTGTGTGCGTGTGTGTGGCAGGACCACTGAAGGTGAGCCTCAGGGGAGGAGAGGCGTCTTAGCCTGTGACTCCTGCTGTGCCTCTACTGAGAGACCAGAGTGGGCTGAAGCCCTGGGGGAGCTGCCGGGTGTTGGCCCTTCTCCCTTCCACCATGACCGAGGGCTCAAGTCCAGCCTGAGGTGACACCCCAGTTCCCTGGGAGGCCACATGACCAAGGCCTTTCCCACAGGATGCCCAGGAGCCATGGGTACGACTCCTGCCAACCCGGCTTGAAACCCCTGTCTGCCCGGGTCTCCCCTCGTCACACTCTCCCACCACACAGAGGAGCCACGGCGGGGAGGGGACGACACGGGAGGAACCTGGGTCCCCGAGTCTCCTGGGGACCACCTGCTCTCCTGAACTCCTCGCCTCTGGACTCTTCCACGAGAGGGAAATACATTTTTGTGTTCTTTAAGCCACTGACCACTGGGGCTTTTTGTTACATCAGCCAAACCTTAACCTCCAGTGGTATGCATTCCACGGAAGGTGGCCTTGTTCTAAGTGCCACTAACGCAGAGGGACGCCGACTCTCCAGGTGTGTGTCCCACGCACAGCCTTTGAAGAGAAGAGCTCTCTCTGCAGACGGAGGGAGTCTTCCCCGAGGGCGGGCAGGGTCACGTGGCACAGCGCGCCCCCGCCCCCGTGGCTCACCTGCTTGGTTGGTGGTGATGTTCACCGAGGCGAACTGGGGCGAGAAGGGGCTCTGGTCGGTGACGCCATTCACGGCCTGGATCTCGAAGGTGTACTGGGTGTGGGCCAGCAGGTCGCTGATGTAGATGCGCGGCTCCGTCAGGCCCAGCTGGCGGGGCGCGTACTGCACGTTGTCCCCACAGCGGGTGCAGGCGCCCCGGCCGGAGCCGCAGCTCTTGCAGATGATGTTGTAGACCAGATCCTCGCGGCCCCCGGAGTCGCGCGGAGGGGTCCACTCCAGCATGAGGGAGGTCTCGTTGACACTGGAGATCACAGCCTGGGGGGCGGAGGGGATGGCTGGGGGGGGAGCGCGTGAGTCAGAGGGGGCTGTGGGGGCTGTCCCCCAAGAGACCCTCTGCCCACTGCCGGGCTCCAGCCCAGGCCTCCCAAAGGACTGCTTCCAAATCCTCACCTGATGGATGTTTCTAGAATCTGAGTTATCCTGCTGTGGATCTGCTGAAACCTTTCCTCCTGGGCCCCAGCCTCTGAATACGTGTTACTAGGGACAGGGTTTTGTGTGCAGGATACCCCTAGAGTATCTATCTCCCCCTCTTTCCTCACAAAAGAACCCACCTTTACTCAGGATAGCAATATGTCCAGCTAAAGACGATGTTTCCCAGGCTTTTGTGGTTAAGTGCTGGTCATTCATAAAGGTCAGAAGCTATTTAATAAGGCTGTGTCTTAAAAGGGAGACAGACGGGAACAGGAGGAAGTCCCTTTGGGCCTTTTCCCTTTCTACTGCCTAGAATGTGTATGACGGCTGGAGCGACAGCAGCCATGTTGGACTAGGAAGCGACTTCAAGGATAGCAACCACATGTCATGGCTGGCAGAAAGAGCCACATCCCAGAAGTCGTCCTGATTTTCATACTATCCCAGGACGGCCTCCCCTGGGCTCCTTGCATGGAAGAGAACAAATCTGCATGGTTTAAGCCACTGGGATCAGCTCTGTTATTTATAGCTGACTGGGACTGGGGTTATGAAACTGCCTCTTGGTCACCTTTCCTGGAGAGTCCTGGCCTGTGGTTCTGACAGCCGCTGCCAGGTTAGAACACCGGGCAGCCTTTGTGCTGCAGGACCCCCGCCCCACTGTGCTGGCTCTGCTGCGGAGCCTCCCAACCCCGGCCCCTCTGTGAGTCGAGACCTTGACTTTATCCTCCCGGTGCCCGAGCAGAGGGCGTCAGGAGACAGAGGTCCACCCCATGGCGTCCACCGTGGGCAGCAGCGCCACCCCAGGTGCTCGGCGCTCTCGGCAGCCTCCCACCCTGTCCCCCGCCGTCCGGCAGGTGCACCCTGGAGCGTACTTGTGCAGGGCATGTCCAGGGGGTCCAGGTCGGCTCTGTAGTAGCCATTGCGGCAGACACAGTTGGTGGCCCCTTCCGAGGTGGTCCGGCTGTTGATGGGGCAGTGCGTGCAGGCCTCGTCCCCTTGGTTGGCCTTGAAGGTTCCTGAGGGACAACCTGGGGGAGAAGACGAGGGCGTCATCAGGGAACCAGTTCTCCACACCAGGACCTGATCCTGGGAACCACCTCCCGAACTCCTGGGGACTCCAGGTCGAATGGGGCAGCTCTGGCCCCATCCGGAAGGTTCTCGACCACTGGCTTCTTTCCCTGAGCCGCCTGGGTTGGCCGGGCCTGTGTCTTCCCTCCCTGCCCAGCTTGGCTGTGCCGCAGCCTCTAGGGTCCACCCTGGCCTTGTTGGGAGGCCCCTGAAGGAGTCCGAGGCCGTGTCCAAGGTCCGTTCTTGCTTTCTGACGTCCAGCTGGCCACCGGCCACTAGCTCGTAGCTAGAGTCCCGGGTCCCAGACCGGGAGGGGGTTAGTTACATGATAGAACTCCTACGACAGCACAGGGTCAGTAGAGAGGGCCGTGGTGAGCAGAGGGTGCTGCCCTTGGGCTCACATACACCTGCCCGAGTCCCTGCTCCGTCTTTTACTTACCGTGTGGCCCTAGACCAGTGGCTTAACCCCTCGAAGACTCAGTTTTGCTATTCATGAAACTATGAGTCGCAGGCCCCTTTCTGCAGGTGACCATTCATTTAGCGTAAGCGCGTAAGGGGCACCTAAGTCCTTACAGAACTGAGTGCCCACTTTGACCTGTTTATTGACTGCCGGGGCCTGCAGTACCAAGGACAGCCTGAGGGGGCAGTGTTTGCACTTGGCCTACCCTTGTCATTCTGGGTTGGCCCAAGGACCGTGGCCTTGGCCCCACTCTGGGGTCCAAGCCCTGCATCTCGGAGCACACCTTGAGGTTCCACTGGAGGCACGCGTGTTCGCCTCTTCCCTTCCTGTGGCTCCTGGGTGGGGAGTCAGGTGGTCAGTGCTATCCGTCTCCCAGCCTCAGCCTTTGGGGGTTCAGCACCCCAGGACGGCTGTGATGCCTTGGAGGGACTGAGTGAGGGCGAGGGAGTGGGCGGGCAGGAGAGAGCTCCGGAGGACAAGATGGTCCTTGGGACGAAATGCTGCTAACTCCTCCATAAGCCCCTGCCCTGGAGCACATTGCCTGCCCAGGTGCTGGGCAACCTTGGACGAGTTGTTCGACCTCTCTGAGCTGCAATTGTCTCAGCAGTGGGTAAACAGAGGACCTGCCACCTAGGGGGACTCCGGTGAGCGCAGGACCTGGAGCAGGGTGGAGGAGGGGCTGCCGATCCAGTCCTGGGCTCAGTGGAGGAAGGGGGTGCTCACGGAGGAACCCAAAGGCACCTGGCCGGACCCTGCCTTTCTGCCTCTTGGGGGAACTTCTGTGAGGTGGCTCCAGAGCGACCTGGCACCCGCCGGGCTGCGGCCTCCCTGACCAGGCCCCGTGGGCTCAGCCAGGACTTTGACACAACCCACCAGGCCCCGGTGACGCCGATGGCCAGGCCGGGAAGGCGAGGGTCCTCTGGAGCTGGGGCCTCCGCCGTGAGGGTGCACATGGCTGGCATCCACTGTCTCCGTGTGACGCCTGGCCCTGGCCCAAGGGTTGACCTGTGCGAACCTCCGGACCCCCAGGGAGGGTCCAGAGCCCCCCTCCTGGCAGAGGCCCGGGGGTTGCCTCCCAGAGAGCGCCTGCCCGGCTCAGGGGCCTGCACATCCGCTGGCCAGTTCCTGGGCCCACTGGAGGGGGCGGCTCCCTCCTCTGGGCCGTGCCAGCCCCTCCATCTGGCCCGTCTTCCCCTGCCCTCTCAGGCTCCCCCGATCCACCCCCGCAGCAGTCTATCTGGCGGCTGGCACCGAGTTTCCTAAAACCTGTTCTTCTCTGCCCCGAAAAGCGGCCTGGTGTCCCCCCCCCTTCACCCCCTGCCGCCTGTCAATTACCAGGTCTTTCCTCCTCAGCGGGTCCTATCCCTGCTCTTTGTGGCCGCTTCCCGCCCCCGCAGGCATCTAGAAAGCTCTTCCCACCCACTCCCCAGCCTGGCAGGGCCATCTGGCCTCCCCGCCCTCCCTCCAGAGCAGGCTCTCTGAGGCAAACCTTTCCACGTCACTTGACAACGCACAGTGGCAGACAGTGGAATATTATTCAGCCATAAAAAGGAGCGACAGACTGATACAGGCTCCCGGATGGGCAAACCTGGAGACGCTGCTGACTGGGAAAGAAGCCAGGCACCAAAGTGTGGTTCCATTTATAGGCAATGGGTCCGGGGAGGTGCATCGAAGAGACAGAAAGTCGATGTGTGCCTGCCCAGGGCAGGGGCTGGGGGAGAACGGGAGATGTCTGCTAATGGGTAGCAGGGTTTCTTTGGGGGTGACAAAAGTGTTTTAAATTGATTGTGGGGAGGCTTGCGTGATTCTGTGGATGCTCTAAATCCATTAAGCTGTGCACTCGGGGCAGGTAAGTTGGTGATCTGTGCTAATGTCCCCACGAAGCCGCGATTCCAAACGCTCACGATGAGTCTCATCGCCCAGGGGAGGCCGGAGCTCCTCAGGGCCCCCTGCGCCCCCTGGGCTGGTGCTGCCCCTCTCTAGTGTGACGTCACTGTCCCAGGCCTACCCATGTCTCTGGGCTCGCCCACCCTGGCCTCTCGCCTGGAAGGCCCCCGATCCCACCTGTTCCAGGTTCCGTGAGACCCCGGCAGGTTTGGGGGCCCGGCTGGGCTGTAAGCCCCCCACCCACGGGGCCAGCGCTCTCGGGTGGGGACAGCTGATGTCGGAGGAGCTGGGGGAGTGTCCAGATCAGCTCTTTTGTTGGCCTGTGGGGAGACCGAGGCCCAGAGCGGAGCGCACGGATGGAGGGATGGATGCGGGAGGCAGAGGCGGACCTGGTGCAGGGCCACTGTGCCACCTGGTGTGTGCCGCGGCTCAGCCCCCAGCCACGGCTCCCCCTCCTAGAGGGGCCTGGTGGCCGCCGAGCACAGTGCCCAGACAGTGCACTGCTCCAGGTTCTTGGGACCAGGCAGGCGCCCCTCCTGCCAGCATCTGGGTCTCGGGTGCCGACACGGGAAGAAGCCAGGGGACGGGAGCCGCAGGCCCGGGTCAGCCTGGACAGGCCTTCTCGCCCCTCCACTCAGCCTCCCCCCTGCAGGGGGAGCAGGCAGAGCAGACGTGCTGTGGGTGACGGGACCCAGGACGGGCCACTCTGCCTCCCGCCCATCCCCGTGAGCTCCATGGGGAATCACAGCTGCGCTCGCCCGGGCTCCCCCTGCCCTTCACGTCCTGTCGCCAGCCCTGCCACCAGGCCCTGGGCCGCCCCGAGGGTCTCCCTGCCCCTGCCAGCCACCCCCGCCCCGTGGGCTGCAGCCTGCGGGTCGCCAGGCCGTTCCCACCTCTGGACCTTTGGCCACGCTGTGCCCTGGGCTTGGACGCTCCCCCTGCCCCCCCAGGATGGGCTCCTTTTCCTCCTCCAGGACCCTCCTAGGGCCACACGGACACCCCGGGCTCCAGCGACTCCTGCCCACCTCTGTCTCTGTTCCTCTGCGGGCCCCGTCCCAATTAGCAATTGCTCTAGAGACGATGTGTCAACCTGCGAGCTGCCCAGACGTCTCGGCTCTACCCCGCGCCCCACGCCCTACCCGGCCTCCCCCCAGCGTGAGGATCGGCAGACCTGCCCCTGTGCAGGGCACACAGGAAACGGTGGAGTGTCTGCCGTTTCCTGGGGTGTGTGCTCCCCACCAGGGCGAATTCCCAGCTCCCAACCTGAGATGGCGGAACACAGAAGGAACCTGCGCCCACAGCTCGCAACCTGGGCCGGTACAGACCAGGCCACCACCTGGGCTTGCCCGACCCGGGCTTATCTTTGTCCTGCCCCCTGGTTAGTCAGCTTTGGCTGGAGGAGGGGTTGAGCGTCCACTCTCCCCGGCACAGGATCTGGCACAGGATCTGGCACATAGTAGGTGCTCAGCCAACTCCATCTGCTGAATGGCAGGTCTGTCCTTGGACAGTGAGCAAGTGGAGGGCCGGGCCGTGGGCGTGGGGGTGGGTCTCAGCACAGGCTACGGAGACGCTGCCCGTCGACGCTCACCTGCCCCGTGAGGACACAACGCCTCTTGCTTTTTAGACACTTCCCAGGTGCGGGCCCCGCGCTCGGAACTCACCTAATTCTCTCTCTTACTCCATCTCTGCCCACTGAAGTAGGTACCATTATCGTTCCCATTTCACAGATAAGGAAACGGAGGCTCAGAGGGGTGAAGCCATCCCCCGGAGGCCACACAGCTAGCGAACGGCAGGGCTGGGTCGGACTTCTGGTCTCTGACTTCAAAGACCTTGTGTCCAGAGGCAGAAATCATCAAGAGGCCGAATCTCGGGCTGGAGACCATCTTGTCCGGCTGAGCGGGGTCACTGGGCAAGACGGAGGCAAAGCCTGGCGCTCCGACCCAGGGCTCCGGCACGGAGCAGCCGGCCGGCCTGGCCTTCTGTGGACGCCTGTACCCTGGGCCAGGCAGCCCCGGGCGGGGACGGCAGGCCGCCAGCTGGGGACGGAGAGGAGGATTACAGGGAAACAGATTTTCTCTCTGCTGCCCCCCGGGCTCCGGGGATAGGTGATAATTGACCAAGTGAGCCCCGAGTCAGGCCGCGCGGGCTCCATCTGGGCCTGGCACGGCGGGGCTGCTAATTGGCACTGAGTGGCTGGCCTGCTGCCTCTGCTCACCCCTCTCCTCCCAGAGACGGCTGATGCCGCTCTGGAGTCAATCGCTCAGTCAGGCCCCGTGTGCCAGACAGCAGGGTTGGCAGGAGCACGTCTCCCTGGGGGTCCTGTGGTCGAGGCCTGTCTGTGGCACCTGAAAAGTCGGCTGCCCCGCACCCGCATTCCACCTCCCGCTCCCCACTCTGAGTAAAGTCAATGCCTCTCCTTTGCTGTGTGACCATGGGGAACTCCCCTAACCTCTCTGTGCCTCCGTTTCCTGTCCATACGACGAGGATGATAACAATCCTGACTCTATATCTGTGGAGAGGATCACAGGAGATAGTCCAAGACAAGTGCCCACAGCTGTGGTTTCCTGGCTCACGGTGAATTACCATCGTGCAGGTTAAGGATCCCTCATCTGA